AAAAGTTTGAGTACACTCATCTGTAAGGGGAACAAGATAAGTAAATTGTTTCTAGAGAATGTGGTAAGTGCTATATTCTTACACAGCAGAGAGCTCCTGAGTTTTTTTCAATATAAACCTTCGAAGGACACCAATTTCCACAGAGCTATCAGGCATTGATAATCACTGTCGAACTAAGCTGATACCAAAAGGCATTTAGGTCCTGACTCATGGTTTTCAGTGTATGGTGGGATCCAGTGTTTCATGAAATACTTCTGAAGATCCAGTAAAAGGAAGTTTGCTCATGATTAAAAAACAAAACAAAACAAAACTCATTGCCATCAAGTCGATTCCAACTCATAGCAACCCTACAGGACAGAGTAGAACTGCCCCATAGGGTTTCCAAGGAGTAACTGGTAGACTTGAACTGCCAACCTTTTGGTTAGCAGCAGAGCTCTTAACCACTGTGTTACCAGGTCTCCTTGCTCAGGATAAACATGTATATTTTCTACCTACTCCTTCTCTAACACCAAGTCATATGAAACTTCCAAGGCATTTTATCTCTTTCAATGCCAAATCCCATCCCTGCAGTGGCCAGGTTTATTTTCATATCTTAAAAATTGCTTATTAAAAAAAAAAAATTACCTCCTATGAACTTTTCCCCTATACTGCATTATCAAGAACACAAAGTGCTTAAAATTGATTGTGATGAGCTCTTACCGAAGCCCTGAGCTCAGCATGCATCCTAACTTCACTATCTGGGTCTACCTAGCCCCAACATTCCATGATCCCATCTGCTTCTTAGCCTGCTCTCAGCTCCGGGCATACTGGCATACAACAAACCCTCATTTGCATTAGAATCCAGTCCATTTATTGGATCAACTTTGAAACCTGCCTCCCAGAAAAAAGCATGCACGGTCACTCTGGTCTTCCATCCTACAAGTCAGAAAGTTCTATTTGGTATAAGATCTTTAAAGATTCAAAATATCCCTCCCCACCAACAAAAAGAAACCAAACTTGTTGATGTCGAGTTGACTGTGACTCATAGCGATCTCATAGGACAGGACAAAACTGCCCCATACAGTTTCCAAGGCTGTAATCTTTATGGAAGCAGACTGCCACATCTTCTTCCCACAGAGCAGCTGTTAGGTTTGAACCATTGACCTTTCGGTTAGCAGCCAAGTGCTTCAACCACTTCGAGAACAAATTCACTGCTGCCGGGTTGATTCCAACTCATAGCAACCCTAAAGGACAGAGTAGAACTGCCTCAAAGCTTTTCTAAGGCTGTAATCTTTATGGAAGCAGACTGTCACATCTTTCTCCCTCAAGGCAGCTGGAGGTTCGAATTGCCGACCTTTTGGTTAGCAGCCAAGCGCTTTTACAACTGTACCACCAGAGCTCCCTTGTGCAACCAGGGCTCCTCAAAATATCCCTGGTACTGGAATATCCTTCACTTCCTTGTCAGTTTGGCAAATTCCATGTCTACCGTGTAAAGCTTTCTTCACTTTCCCAACCAGAACAACCAGGAGTTCTCTCCTATGTACGATTATAGCACTTGTCACATTCCCTAGAAACAACTTACTTATCTTGTTTCCCTTAATAGACTAGTGCATTCACACTTCTTTTTTTTAAATGTTGTTGTTGTTGTTGTTAGGTGCTGTCAAGTTGGTTCCAACTCATAGCGACCCCAAGGACAGAGAAGAACTGCCCCATAGGGTTTCCAAGGGGTGGCTGGTGGATTTGAACTGCCGACCTTTCGGTTAGCAGCTGTGGACTTCCATTTTTTTTCTTTTATTTCATTTTATTGTGCTTTAGGTGAAAGTTTACAGTGTAAATTAGTTTCTCATTCAAAAATCTATACACAAATTGTTTTGTGACATCGGTTGTAATCCCTGTATTGTGTCAGCGCTCTCCCCCTTTCCCTTTCCATCCTGGGTTCCCTGCGTCCATTCGCTCAGTTTTCCTGTCCCTTCCTGCCTTCTTGTCTTTGCTTTTGGGCAGATGTTGCCCATTTGTCTCGAATACTTGATTGAACTAAGAAGTGTGTTCCTCACATGTGTTGTTTGTTTTACAGGCCTGTCTAATTTTTGGCTGAAAGCTGGACTTTGGGATATGACTTCAATCTGTCCTAATGATGAAAAATTTTCTGACACACTCCTTATATGTATATTTATATCTTTATTTATAAATTATGTACTTCTCTGGCAAAACTGGATATCGATTTGCAGATAAATGAAACAGGATCCATACCTCACACCACACACAAAAACTAAAAATGGATCAAAGACCTAAATGTTAAACCTAAAACTATAAAGTTCCTGGAAGATAACATAAGGACAAAGCTAGGGGTCCTAATTTTTGGCATAAATACACTATCAAACACAACTAAAAATGCATGAACAACATAAGATAAACTAGGTAACTGGGACCACCTAAAAATTAAATACTTATGCTCATCAAAAGCCTCTACCAAAAGAGTGAAAAGAGAACCTACAGACTGGGAAAAAGATTGGCAACGAAATATCCGACAAGGGTCTAATCTCTAAAATATATAGAAAATTTCAACACCTCAACAACAAAAAGACAATCCAATCAAAAAATGGACAAAGGACATGAACAGAGACTTCACCAAAGAGAAAATACAGGTGGCTAATAAACACCTAAAGAAATGAGCACGATTATTAGCCGTTAGAGTGATACAAATCAAAACTACAATGAGATACCATCTCACGTCTGTAAAAATGGCACTGATCAAAAAAACAGAAAACAAATGCTGGCAAGGTTGTAGGGGAGATTGGAACTCTTATACACTGCTGTGGGATTGTAAAATGGTACAACCACTATGGAAAATGGTATGACGCTCCCTCAAAAGCTAGAAACAGAAATACCTTATGTTCCAGCAATCCCACTCCTAGATATATATCCTAGAGATATAAGAGCAGTGACAAGAATAGACATACACACACTCACGTTTGTTGTAGCACTATTCACAATAACAAAAAGATGGAAACAACCTAAGTGCCCATCAGCGGATGAATGGATAAACAAATTGTGGTACATACATACAATGGAACACTATGCAATGATAAAGAATAATGATGAGTCCCTGAAACATCTTATAACATGGATGAATCTGGAGGGCATTATACTGAGTGAAATAAGTCAAACACGAAAGGACAAATATTGCATGACACCACTTTTATAAAAAGTCAAGAACAGGTATACACACAGAAAGCAATGTTCTTTGATGGTTACCAGGGATGGGAGAGGGAGGGAGGGTGAAAAACCAAAACCAAAAACTCACTGCCGTTCAGTCAATTCCGACTCATAGCGACCCTACAGGACAGAGTAGAACGGCCGCATAGGGTTTCCAAGGATGTAAATCTTTACAGAAGCAGACTGCCACATCTTTCTCTAGATGGTAGACACGTGTTAATTCTGGTGATGGGAAAAGCAATATACAATATGGGGATGTCAGCACAGCGTGACCAAGGCAAATGAAGACACTGAGAGGTACTCAAGAATAAAGGACAACTACAGTAAATGCTATAACATACAATTTTGCAATAACAGTAATAACAAGCAAAAAATATGTGAGTAGCTATATGGGTAGATATGTATGCTATATGGCTGTGGGAAGGCATGGAAGTACACGCATGTGCATATACAGGTATATTTGTGGGCATATGTATATACATGTTTGTATGAGCTGCATATATATTCATATACACAATAAAGCACATGGGGGCACAGTTATGGATACTTCCTAAAAAACCCAGAACCAAACCAGTTGCTGTCAAGTCCATTCTGACTCATAGCAACCCAAACACATCATGGGATTGATTTACTGGGTTTAAGGCTCAGGACCATAGTCTCGTGGGACAACTAGGTCAACTGGCATAACTTAGATCATAAAGATAATGTTCTCCATCCTAGTTTGGTGAGCAGTGTCTGGGGTCTTAAAAGCTTGCAAGCAGCCATCTAAGATACAACTATTGGTCTCTTCCCTTCTGGAGCAAAGGACATTGAAGGAAATCAAAGACTCAAGGAAGAAATTAGTCCACAGGACTAATGGCCCATAGGAACCACAGAGCCTCTTCTATCCTGAGACCAGAAGAACTAGATGGTGCCTGGCTACCAGTACCAACAGTTCTGACCAGGGATACAATATAAGTTCCCAGTTAGATTGGGAGAAAAATGTAGTACAAAACCCAAATTCATAAAAAAGACCAGATTTACTGGACTGATAGAGACCCCCGAGATTACTGCCCTAAGATACCCTTTTAACCTGGAACTGAAGCCACTCCCAGAGGTCTGCTTTCAGCCAAAGAATAGATTGGCCTATAAAATAAACAATAACACCCATGAGGAATGTGCTTCTTTAAACATTCCACTATATGGTTAAACAGTTAAACAATCAACCATATGGTCAACATTTACACAAAAGCAAAGAGAAGAAGGCAAGGAGGGGCAAGGAAACTGGATACATGGAAATGGGGCAGGCGGAGTGGAAATGGTGAGAGTGCTGACATATTTCGGGGATTTTAACCAATGTCACAGAACGATTTGTGTATGAAATGTTGAATGGGAATCTAATTTGCTATGTAAACTTTCACCTAAAACATAAGAAAATATTTAAAAAAAAAAGAAAAGACTGTAAGGGGACAGGGAAACTAGATTAATGGAAATGGAACAACCAGAACAGAAATAATGAGAATGTTTGTAAATTCTGAAGAATGTAACCAACGTCAATGAACAATTTGTGTAGAAATTTTTGAACGGGTACCTAAACTCTGTGTAAACCTTCACTGAAAACACAACAAAGTATATTTTAATTAGATGTTTCCACTAACACCAAAACACATTGTCTATAAAGTTTAAATTTAAGAAATTATTTCTCAAAATTATAATATATCCCCTTTTTGGACTAAGGCAAGACTGCATTTAACCAAAGTTAAATCAGATAATTTACCTCAAAGCAAGGTTTCTCTCAGAAGACCTATGACACATTGTTCTCTTACCTCACAATTACATGTGTTTTTCTTGTTCTTTCTCCAAACCATATAGTGGATGGCTTAATGCTGATTGTGTGGAGTGGAATTCTATTTTTGGAAGTAATTCCACAGGGTAATTTGTTCCACTGAAAATATTCCTCTGCCTAAAAAAGATAAAAAAAAAAAAAAAATAGGAGAACAGTTCTAGATTTTCAACAATCTATTTTTAAGCACAGTCCCAAATACAAACGCAGATATGAGGAAATAATCAGATAATTCCAAGTCGGGGAACATTCTACAAAACAACTAGTCTAGACTCTTCAAAAATATCAATGTCATGAAAGAAAGACAAAAGGCTTAGAGACTTGATCTATATTAAGAGAGAGTAAAGAGACATGACTGAATGGACACATGATCCTTAATTAAATACTGGTGGCCTCTGCTCTCCCCACCCCACAAGCTATAAAAAACACTATTGGGACAACTAGGGAAATGTGAGTTTGGACCGTATAATATCTAATAGTGTTGTATCAATGTTAAATTTCCTGAGTGTGGTAAATGTATTATGGTTATATAGGAGAATGTCTTTGTTAAGAGATCCATGCTGAAGGATTCAGGATGATGTGTCATGAAGTCTGCAGCTTACTCAAATGGTTCAGGGCAAGGCAGAGGGTGATTACAGAGAGAGGGAGAAAGAGAGAAAGCAAATATGGCAAATGTTAACAAACTGGTAAATCCAAATGAAGATTCTACTAGTCTTATTATTTCACTGTTGATTTCCCATTTTTCAAAATAAAGTTGGAGGGAAAAAAGTAATTAAAAAATTTTAAAGGTTGAGAAATAATGGGACTACTTTTCCAAATACCATTAACATTCCATCCAAAGCAAATTTCATCAGGGTCCCTGTGGTGCTATCACGCAGTTTGGATGAGATTGCTACAAGGCCCTGAGTGGTCTCTACTGGTCAGTAGTTTTAAAGGCTAAATGACCTAAGAAATAGCTTAAGCCACCCAGAAGTAGCATTTCAAGAAAGTAGCCAAATGTGGGGAATGACTGCAGTTGTGTTGCTGTGTGCCGTCGAGCTGATTCCAACTCACAGCAACCCTATGTGAGTATGAGATGACAGCAGTAGCAGTTACAAATTAGACCAGTTTGTGGGACATGAGAGTATTCAGAGAAAAAAATAACCCTGCCAGTTAAAACACTTATAGGCAGAGGAGCGAAGATAGTGGACTGAGGAGCAGCCTGGGAGGCAGCCTTGGGGCCAAGGGGCAGGCCAAATGCATCTGACGGACTACGGGGGTTCCCTATCACAAGAACATTTTCCTTGAACTTTAGGTGCTTTTATATTTTCTTCATCTCAGAAAGAAAACAAAATTCTGAACTCAGGACTTGGCAAGCATTTCTGTGTCGTCTCCTGGAGCAGGTGACCCTGTTTCTTTTATCCAGCCACTCTCCCTATTCTTGAAATGTGGATGTCTCTTCTCTACAGTTTATCTCCACGATTTGGAATGGAAAAGGCCGCTTTTCTTTTTCTTCCACCTCTCAAATTCAACACAGAGAAGCCTCTAGGATGCAGTCATCCTGCCAACTTCTCCGAAGAAAGAATCAACTGACGTGGGTCTTCTGCTGCTATTTGTCTAACTGTAAAGAAATTATTTTGAAAACTGAAGTCTGATGTTTAATTTGAAATACATGCTTTGATGGTGGTATTTGTGAATTCTTTACCTTTTGTTCTATACAAGAAGATTAAATAAATAGCAAGCATGGATGACTTCAGGTTTTTTATGTTTTTTTTTAACGTCTTCCAGTTTCAGCCAGTATCATGAAAAGCACAGCTCAGACTGCAGCAGTAAATTCCAAATATACTTTCCAATTTCAAATGAAAGAGATGGTAAAAAATTACATATATTTACGTATCTAAATCCTGGCTCATCTCATGACAGATACTTCCTGAATAAACAAAGGTTCAATTTTGCAATTGATGTGATAAAGTTGCATAAAGACAAGATATCTTGGGATTAATTTTCATATGTGAATAAACCATCACAGTCTCTGTACAAATACACATTTTTGCATGCATAAATCCACATTTTTGGATGAGAAGAACGATTTTTCTCCAAGAGAAGATAGCTCTGTTCACTTTTTTCCTCAGAAGTCTTTGGACACTGGTATTTTAAAATGTTTTTTCATTCATCTAAGGAAGGACCATATTGTATCGTGCAGAAGCTAGCCCTCTGAATACATACTTGAGTTTAGTGAAAGAGTGGTAAAAGACAACAGTCCCGCATCCAGTGATGGAAGCCTTTTTACCTCCCTAGGAAATGAGGCTGCTGTGTTATAAATTACTTCATCCTTTGTGGAGTTTTATAATAGCACTTGGGACTTGGTTTCTCATGCTGCCATGGCTAGACGAAGACTAGCATGAGTGGTTTTTCAGTCAGAAGATGTTATGGACCCTTCAACTGTGGACATAAAAGAGTGGGGGGAAATGAGAAAAGTTTTCACATGATTTCTTTCTCCTAAGAAAAAGAAGCAAAGATGCCTTTGCAGCTCCATTTGACTTTATGGTGTGTTACATTCTTTAGCTCCATTTTTTATAAAACCATAAGTAACTTTTTCCCTTCCATTCAAGATGAGTACTTGAGTGTTTGATTTATTTTTCTAGGTGACAGGTGTAATCTTAGGCTGAAAAAGCTAGGACTCAGGTAACTCTTTCCCTGGTCAGAACTTAAGCTTCTCATTAGAGAATGGGCCTCAGAGGCAATGTTCCCAAATTTGTAGTTGCATCAGTGTAGATTTAAGAAAAAACTCAGGGTCTAAAAAAAAAGCCTCAAAGAAGAAAGAGAAATTTCAACAAGAAACACGGATCTACCTTTCCTTCACTTAAAAAATTACGCCACATGAACAAATGTAGAAGAAAGGTATCCTTAGTTCCAAACCCACAGGACCACTGTATGAATTGTTAGGTTCTTACAGAAGGAGAGGAGAAATTTACCTACGATCCTTTGAGATGGGAAAAAGAATTTAAACTTCTGAGATGAAATTAAGAACAGACAGTCTTAGATCGTCTGCATTATAACGAAAGTTTGCTCAGAGCCATGCATGCTATGATGCTAGGAATTTGAAGCAGATTTACCAAAATTTGATATTGATAGAAATGGCAAAAAATGTGAAATGTTGAGCACTCTAATGATTAGTCAAAAGGAAGGCTTTTCAGTAACATAATTATATAGTGTAGATAAAACACACTTTGCTTTGAGGGCAATTACTTAGTGGTAAAGCATACTAGAAATAACTGTGGTTAAAGATAACTTAAATTCTCCTCCAAGTGACCTCCCAGCCACTTCCTGATGTTTTCCTTTGGTATTTCGAAATTGTTAAAAACAGAACGGAACCTATCCCACCAGTTTGTTCAGAATGTATTGTGCAGAATTTGTGTCTTCCAATTAATTGATTGTTATCCATCCTCTTCGTGTCCTGACAGCTTTTTGGGTAAGATCATTTGGCAGGCGATAGTGTACCTATATCAGAGCACCAGTGAAACCAGCCCACTTATTTGAGCAGGTAGCAGATCCTGCTTCTCCAGATACTTTACATTTTTTCAGTTCATAGCTAACAGAACCACTGTTAATGCTCCCTTTCAAACTGTTCTTGCATATTCCATGATTGTCACCAGATGGCACTTCACAAAATGAGTATACTCCAGTTGTACTTGCCCAGTGTTAACATATCTACATTTTTTTTCCTGCCTTATTTTAGTCCCCTTCCTGATGGTAAGTAGCCCTGGTGGCACAGTGGTTAAGCGCTCAGCTGCTAACCAAAATGTCAGCAGTTCGAATCCAACAGCCACTCCTTGGAAACTCTATGGGCCAGTTCTACTCTGTCCTATAGGATCACTACGAGTCAGAATCAACTCGATGGCAATGGGTTTTGGGTTTTTGGGTTTCCTGATGGCAAAAACTACAGTTTCCAGCAGGATTATGCCTTGATCTGCATCTGTGCCTACTTCCTTTCTTTTGCTCACCCATGTTAGCTGGCAAGTTTTCTTTTGAAAAGTTAAACAAAAAACAGGATATGTGAAATAGAACATATATGTGTGTATATTTTAATACTTGTGGACAAGAGGTTAGAAGTTGTTTAAGAACAACAAAGTCACCAATGTCTTCCATTTTGAGATGTGTATAGTTTTGTAAGCATTATTGCTTGGTAGCAAATTATAGTGCTATGTTAAGGGTTAATGTATGAGCCTAGTAGTAATTATAAACTTCAGGATGAACTATCGATAATAACCAATAGTGTAAAAAGACTGGAAAATCTAGACATTTTTTCATAAATATCTAAATTTGTGATATTCTTCCTTGGGGAAAGGAGATTAAGGCCAAAAAGACTCGTTTATGAATAGAAATATGGGGTGACAATCTGAAATTTTGTGTTTGTGGATATTTAAACTTTCCACGAGGCAGGTGGAAACTGACTGCCTTTGTGTCTTACTGTGGTGTGATTAATTACTTTTGTGTGTGGCCTTTCTAGCCATGGTCTTGTGACTCCCACCCAGGTGATTGGGTGGGGCTGTGCAAATAAGACGATTGTGGCCCACCAAGGGGATTAGTCAGTTTTGCCTTAAAAGACCACCAATTCCAGAGCAGAGAGAAGAGCCACCACCAAAGGAGGAGAGATCAGGCAGCAGGAGACGGCGCAGTGGGCTTCCCAGCCCATGAAGAGGGAAAGCTGAGTGCCTTTGGGCAGAGACTAAGGGCCAGGGAGAGGTGTGCCTGCTAGCACAGCTGAGGAGAGGCTATCCTAATGGAAGAACTGTATCCTGAGTGTTCTTGAATTCTAACTGTTATTTCCCTAATAAACCCTATAATTGTTTAAGTATGGTCTGTGAGTTCTGTGTGGCCACTGCAATGAATTACTGAAACCAGTAAAGAGTGCCGTGGGAGGGACGGGTGGTGTCAGAATTGCTAGAGACGGCGAAGAGAGGAGGCTTGTCTGGCTTCCACCTCACAGGAAGCCAGCCTCTGGCTGTTGATCTTGGTTCTCCTTCCCGCTTGCGGGGCTGGAGCAGATCAGACACTGCCCCCAAGCTGTTCTCGCACTTACAAAACCTCAAATCAAAACACAGACCCATTTCATCATACTGCTTTCCTCTCTTGGTCTG